TTTAAATTATTTTGATGGTATCTTCCTATTTTAACATTCTATGATTCCATTTATGCTCAGTATAACTGGCCACTAATTCCCAATTCTTGGTTACCAGAATAAACAGTAGGTCTCATAAACCTACTCAAAATTATAATAAATTCGTTGTTTTCACAGTGATAATCAAAGACTTCCAAGTATTTATAATGATGTCTGTGTGTTACTGTGTGGTGTGGTAGGGACAGGTTAGAAATATAACACATTTATTTCTTCTTTCTGTTTCTTATTTTAGAGAGCCCGGGTCTGTCAGAGTGCCCGGTACCTTGGCTGTCACTCCAAAAGAAATGCTTGCTTTTTTCTGATGATCTCGACCTTTGGAATAACAGTCTATCCTACTGTTCCGCAAAAGAATCCAGTTTGCTTCTTATTCAGGATCAAGAAGAATTGGTAAATCCTTAAATAAAATACCTTAGTAAAACTTAACACTTCCTTTAAAGCACATTGAGATCTCTGGGCTTTATCTCAAAGCTTTTATGCAATGGAAGTGGGGACTTTCAATTCAAGATGCTCACAATTTGAGAGATTAAACACACATGTAAACAAATAATTGAATAGAAGATGATGAATAAAACAAAATAAATAAAAATATGTAAAGAGAAATATCACTCTATATAATTATAGAGAAGTAACACTCAACTCTGGTGAGTCATCAGGAAAGACTTCAGCAAGGGGGTAATGCTTGAATTCGGTTTCAGGGGATGAGGAGAAGAATACAAAACATGAATAGATAAGCAGATTCAATATTCTGGCATTTCTTCTGGCCCCTTTATAGAGACTGATACAGAAACTGATAAAGGATACAGCAATTAACTTTTGGATTGGATTAAATTTTACATTATCAGAGAAGAATTGGAAGTGGATAAATGGCTCTTTTTTAAATTCTGCTATGTGAGTATTAGATGAGCTAATTTTAATATTTAATTCACATCATATTTACATTATAAGGTAGTAACATTGTGGAAGATTGAGTTTTGTAGTTTTAATTTGGTTTAGAAATTCTCAAGATGTTCAGAATAGGCTGGGAAGATGGATGATTCTGAG